AAGTGTTCAAAGGTAGCCTAAGTGAAACTTGAGGAGTAGGCAGGCAGGCCGTGTGTTGGCAAGGCAGGATTTGAACAAATAGGTTTCACTGCAGAACCATCAGTCGTCATTGATCTTTCATCAAGGAAAAAAATGTTAACTGTGCCTAAGCAGTTTGCCATTAAATAAGTGGAAGAGAAATGAGGAAGTGAGAAGGACCAGGCTCCCTTTGGCAGGCTTGTTTTGTGTTTGGCTGATGTTTTCTCTCTTCCTTGTCCCTCTCTATTCCAGGAACCTGCTATAGGATCTGCTGTGATGTACTAAACTTTGACTTGTCTACTGCCAATAACACACTGCCTAAGGCTGTACACTAGAGTGCCTTTACTTAACAGCCATTGTGTATGTCCAGCTGAAAATGGACCCTCAAGAACCCACAATGCCTCAGTTATAGGGCTTTGTTTGGATACCTCACTGAGAAAGCTGTCCAAGTCTTCAGCATTGTGGTCTGCTAAAGGAAACTCTGCCTTAAAGTTCTCACAAGACTCTGGAAGGGACGCTAAGTTTCAAAAGCAAGGCTCCACATTTTAAGATGCACTTTTTCTCCCCATTGATTGTACTAAAGTATGTCGTCTTTAAACTGCAGTATGTTTTTGTACACTCAGTCAATCACAATTACAGGCCAATATTTCATACCGAAAGAGTGAACAAAGCAGACCTGTGATCCACATTTGCTGGCCTCTTATATATGTAGGCATCTGTCTTGTCGAGCAATAAGAACAACTCTGTGCAGTGTATGCTGCTTTTAGCTGCTTGGTGAGAGTGGAGGATCTGTGTATCTAACTGCTCCCCCGGAGCCAGTGGAAGTTTTGACAAGGCAGGTGGGAGGAGATGCGATGTGCAAAGACTTCTCTGTTTGCTCAGAGTACCTTTGACAGAGTTCTAGCTCCAGGGCTCTGTGTTCTGCTGTCGGAGATAGGGGGGAGCATGGATGTCATGATGAGCCATGAATTGGTGGTACGCAGCACATGTGGACCAGATGTCTGCTGGGTTACAGTCCTGGCATCTGGACACATCTGAGTACTGTTGTGAAACCACCACCTTTGTCTGTCTCGTTCCTCTTGGTATCATTGTCTGCTTGGTGATGTCCAACCACTCTGTAGTTCAGAATCTGTTCTGACCAAGTCTTTAAGATTGGAGAAAGAAAGTAAAAGCGCTGTGGGTGAGATCTCTGCTGACTGACTGGTGGCTGTGAGGTGGCTGCAACCTGTACGAGATTCCCTTCTGCCACTTGCTGTCTTTTCTGAGGAGGAGATGAATGTAGCCCAGATGTCTTTTCCTTTACCCATCTATAACCAATTTGGTGTAGTACCTAGGGCCTGTCACTGGTGCTCACTACAATTGGACCACTCTGAATTGGACTGTGAGTCACCAGATGTCTTCTTTCCTTTCCTGAGACCCCAGAAATTTGCACCAAACCCTGGAAAGCCTTTGAACAGATGCCCGTGAGGGACGATGCTGCTTACAAGGTGTCCCTCTCACCCTTTCTGGGAAGGGCCGTGCCAATTTGCAGTGCTTTTTGTTCTGGGGTGTACAAAGGAATTTGTTAGAGAAGGTAAGTGTGAGGCCAGTGAATCTTTTGTAAGCCACACAATGCAGTGCAAGTATATGCAGATATATGCACACATATGCAGACTGGGCAGATGGGAGGCATGCTGTGAAGGAGGACATGAACTGCTAAGATCCCCCACAGCATGAAGGGTCAGAGGACACCTCCCTGAAGTGAGATGTTTCTGTCCTTTGCTGGTACCTACAGAGCAAAACCTAACTCTCGGAGTATAGCAAGGCCTAGGAGGCAGGGGAGGCTGGTAAGGAAGGGCTGGATGGGCAGGCTGGGAAAACAGCTCCAGTCACATTTCCACCTTCAGTATTTGAAGCTGAGCCCGTCAGCGTGCTGCTGTCCAGCCGTACGTAGGGACATGTCACACATCTACAGCCATCTTCCTACCTTGGAGGCAGAAGTGTTGCTCCATCTCTCCAATGAATTTCCATCTGCCGAAATGTGGCTCGATGTGTTTATTCTGGGTGAAATTACGCCTTCTCTTACTCTCACACAATACCAGTTCTCTGGAACTGGTTTGCACAGATGTGAGGGCAGAATTTGGCCCGCTCTGTTTAATATATAAGTATATATGTAACAATAGACTTTATTTATATATGCAATCCATAAAGGAGATTAAACAGAGTAGGATGCCTAGGAATTTTCTGTTATGCAGTCTCCTCCTCCTCCCTTGACTGTTCTCGTGTATGTATACAACACATTCCCAGGTTCTGGTTAACGCAGGTATGTGTGTTATGAGATGTCATTACTGGTGGTTGGTCTACATATTCGTCTAATAATAATAACCAATATTGTGTATGATGCAGAAATGACTAATTTTAATAGAATAACTCTTTGGCTTTTGTTCTGTTAGCGTGATTTAAACAAGCCAACAAAGTTTGGAATAGGTTGTTTTCTTTAAGAGGCATGAAAAACAACTATTATCGTGTTACAATGTTAAAATATTCAGTCTTCTTTGACAGAAAAATGTGTACTGTGTAGGCATTGCAAAAAAAAAAAAAAAAAAGAAAAAAAGAAAAAAAATCCCACCTGCTACATGGCATTTGAATTTTTACAACTGTTTATTGTGCCAAATATGTGCAAAGATATAATTTACTGTTTTAAAAAATCATAAAAGCATACGTTATAGCACACAAAGGATTATTTTGTCATCAAGTGATTTCAATCTTTAGTGTTAATATTTATATTTAGATTAATTTTTATAAATGAAAATATTTTAACAGGTAAAATGAAGGCGATATGATCAATTTGATTGAGTCTGAGTGGATATTAAGCTTGCCTTGTTGTTGTTATCTGCATACTCACCAAGAATTATTGTCAAGAGAAATTATAAAAGAGTAAAAACAATTTATGAAAAAAATGCCTTTCCAAGGACTTGATTCATAAAGAAAACACAAAAGCTCTCCTCTGTAGTGTGGATCTGTGTGCCCTTTGGTCAGCAAACACTCTGCCCACACTGCTGCATCGCAAACAACCATTCTCAGTTAAATGCAAATGGGCAACTCAAAGTCCTCTTGCTCAGCTGAAGGGAGAAATAACCCCTACCACCTCCAGGTCACGTCATTTTCCAGGGAAGTGGAGCATCCGTACCTTACTGACAGACCACTCACAAGCAGAAACAAGAGTTGAATTATCTGCTATAATTAATGCAATCTTTATTAAATTTTAGTAGTGATTCTAACAAAGCACGACTAGGAATGCGAGTTCATTCTAGTTTGTCATCTGCAGTATGACTCAGTAACCATCATTCATTAGCTGAATTGTAAACTATCTTTTCTGGATGCGTGCAGTGGATTAAACTGCATTTGAGTAGTCTTGCTGCGAGTAGTTATCAAGATTAAACATACTGCAAATAACGCTTCTTCTAAAATGAGTATAACATGAGTTAATTACTCTGGCAAACAGGAGTACTGAGCCACAACACAAGGCTTATTGATGTGGTCTAATGTTGCCATTCATACATTGTGATGCTCAGAGAGCTTGATCAGATCATGTACTTGAAAACAACAACATGGTTTTAAAGGCAGTCAGACAGTTTAGGCCCTTATCTTTTTTTATATCAGTGCACCCTACCTGCAGTAGGCACAGAACTACTCTGAAGAGTTTAATTAGCCAATTTTCTTAGAATCATAGAATACTTTAGGTTGGAAGGGACCTCGAGGACCATCGAGTTCCAACCCCCCTGCCACAGGCGGGTTGCCAGCTGCTAGATCAAGTACTACATCAGATTGCCCAGGGCCCCATCCAACCTGGCCTTGAACACCTCCAATGATGGGGCATCCGCAGCCTCTCTGGACAATCTGTTTCAGTACCTCACCACTCTCTCAGTACAAAACTTCCCTCCCGACATCTAACCTAAATCTCCCCTCCTTTAGTTTTAAACCATTCCCCCTTCTCCTGTCACTTCCTACCCATGTAAAAAGTTGGTTTCCCTCATGTTTATAAACGCCCTTTAAATATTGGAAGGCCGCAATGAGTTCTCCCCACAGCCTTCTCTTTTCCAGGCTGAGCAAGCCCAGTTCTTTCAGCCTGTCTTTATAGGAGAGATGCTGCAGTCCTTGGATCATCTTCATGGCCCTGCTCTGGACCCTCTCCAAAGCCCCACATCCTTCCTGTGTTGGGGGCCTCAGACCTGGATGCAGAGGGGGGATTCCAGAGGGGGCCTCACCAGAGCTGAGTAAAGGGGAACAATCACCTCCCTTGTCCTGCTGGCCACCCCTCTTCTGATGGAACCCAGGACACCATTGGCCTTCTGGGATGCAAGTGCACACTGCTGGCTCGTGTTAAATTATTCATTAGCCAGGACCCCTAAGTCTTTCTCAGGAGGGCTACTCTCAAGGACTTCTCCTCTCAGTTTGAGTACACACCTGGGATTACCTTGACCCAAGTGCAAAACCTTGCACTTTTTTTTAATAGTAATTATTTCTTAATTTTCTGTCCTTCCTCAGGGACAAGATAGTTATCTTTGACAGAGGCTCCTTTTTGTTCACTGATACATTTTCAGCAGCACAGCAAGAATGATAAAAGGCCAGAGTGTATTTCAGGGCTGCATTCCCACAAGTGAATGTTAACAGTCTGCATAAAAGCTACAGATTTCATGCCGTTAATGCAGGTACATTAAAAAGTAACGAGAGCCTTTTTTTTTTTCATCCAACCATTGCTTTTTATTTTTACATACCAACGGCCACTGACTTTAAAATGTGACAGGAGGATTTCATGGTACACTAACACTGCTGAGTTTAAATCCCAGCACAGGAGCTCTTTGGATTTTGGGTAAGAGTAACGTTACAATGTGCAGCATCATCACAGCTCAGAGAAGGGAACGGTGGTGATTAAAGAGAGAAGAAACACTTTTTAAAGCTATGGTTACACTTAGTGCTGGCGTCAACGCATTGCCTTTTACCTCTAACCTCAATGTGTTTCTTCTTGAAGGAATTTGCCGCAGCAGAGAGAGGAGCAGCATGGGATGGCCAGGCAAAAGCAGAGCCCTGAGGTGCAGGGTAGGGGCAACTCAGAGAGCAGAGGTTAGGTCACCGCCTCAGGGCACAGCCATCACCAGTCACTGTCCTCTGCATCCAACACTTCCTGCTCCCACAAGGCGTTCAGGAGGAAATCCAGGCGCCTGCTCACAGGCCTTAAGCTTCCACGGCCACCTCTCAGCTGCCTCTTCCCAAACCGGCCAATGGGTCGAACGCCACGTCCCACGTACCAAAAGGGATCAATCTCAGGGCCTGGAATTCAAAGAGCTGGGTTGATATTTTTTTTTCTATGGAATGCACTCATAGTTGGCCTTATAGCCTAGTTTAGTTCTACAGCAGGTGTGGAGAAGGCATAATACTAACGTACAGCGTCAGTGAAAATGAACAAACACTGGAGGTGATACCAAATCATTCCAAAGACCCCAAAGGGAACAGGAAACAGGAAACAGACCCCAAAGGAACAGGACTTAATGCGTAATGAAGTATGAGAGTCACACAAAAGTCTCACACAGGGCAGCAGGATTTTCCCCTGTGAGTTTTGCTGCTTGAACTCAGAAAACCAAACAAAAGATCCACTTTTGTTTCTCCACACAGTGTTTAACATCCCGCTGCCTGCCAAATCCCAAGTCATTTCTTTATTTTGACTCAAGGACCTAAAAACCAAGACTGCCTACATCTCCAGTTCTCTCTGTAAGGAGAGGGATGTCCACCTGTGAGCCTGTGGCCTTCCTTCCCACATGCACCTCTTGCTCACTGCACTTTCAACCATGAGCCGTTGCTCCTTGGGGGGAAGGTGAGATTTGACAATACAAATTTTCCCAAAAATACTTTGGTTTGTATGTTAGCTTTTGCTTGGGACATACAGTGCTCTCCTTCATTCAGGTTGGTTCTTCACAGTATTTCTGAACAAGCATGCTTCAGACACTTGTATTTTGACTTTCAGATAATTTGATGTTGGAGGCTGTGGATGCCCCATCCCTGGAGGCATTCAAGGCCAGGCTGGATGTGGCTCTGGGCAGCCTGGTCTGCTGGTTGGTGACCCTGCACATAGCAGGGGGTTGAAACTAGGTGAGCATTGTGGTCCTTTTCAACCCAGGCCATTCTATGATTCTATGATGTTTCCAGACACAAATTAGGATCTCTGTTAAGCACATTTAAGCAACCGGCGCTTGCTTTATTACTTCTTAAAAGTAAATGTTAACTGTCACAGATCTATGGAACATAGATGAAAATAAGCTGTTTAAATAGTCAATATAAACTGCCTTGCATTTTGTCAGTCTTCTGTACATCGGTGTGTTCTCAGGTATTTATTAACAATTGCAGTATTTCCCTTGACAAATTCAGGGCTATAAGGTAGAGATTAAGATCTGTATATGCTCTTAAAAGTGTAAATTGAAGAGCAGGACCTCCCTCCACTGTTTTACCATAGAAACACCTGCAAGGATTTGCAGTTGAACTCTGCCTGGCAGCCTGACCCTGATCCCTTGTAACCAGGGGCCACAGGATCACCATCACATTGCATCAGGTGAGAGTCATACTTACTTCTGTTGTCTATTTGATGTTTAAAAGGTCTGCTCTGTCTCGAAGCAAAGCTGAGCGATACCAAGAGCACCAGCATGTAGATGGTGACCAGCTTTAAGTGCTTTGGTGACCACGAGGGGTGCGATGCCCACAGGATCAGATGCCACATGGTGGAGCGTTGGTAGGAAGGCTGTGAGGAGGAAAGTGGACATAGGGACATCAAAGCTCTCAAGGTGAAGGAAGATGTCAGTTGTGACTGCACGTTCCTATCAGGGCCATTTCATGACTCAGTGCTGACACTGGGGATGTCCTGAGTATTTCTGTTTAAAGACTGCTGTGAACCATCTACTGAGTGAAGACGTGCAGCTTGAGCTTTCCCTCAAAGTCCATGAAAGCCCATGGCACAGCTTCACAGGGCATAGAATCCCAGCCCTGAGACTGCCACTGACCATCCTCATGGCCTTTCATATGTGGGCACTGGACATCAGTACGTTCTAGCCACTATCTCCATCATTGTATGGGGCTGCTGAATCACGGCCTGAGCCTCTGATTGACCACCTGAGGTGAGCACTGAGTCAGCCACAGGAGCACAGGTGAAGGCAATTCAGCTGTGCTGCAGGAAGGCGTGGAGCCAGGCTGCACTTCTCCTAGACCCATTTAAGAGCTGACTGCCAGTGGGGAAGGGCCTCTTCTGGAGATCCACTCCACTGGAGTTTTACAGCAAGCCTAGGATAGGGTGAGTGTCCTTCTTTCCTACTCCAATATAGTAATTACATCAGCCAAGCTCCTGGATATACTATATCCTCTGTATATTCATTGACTGCACAATCACCCTTTCCCCACTTGTGAGATACCTTTCACATTTATATTTTAAACAATCTCTTTACATCTAAATACATTAGAAAATCTTCTTGAAAGGAAATCATCTTCTTATGTGAGCTTTCACGGATAGCAGGCAAAAGTATGATTTCCAGTTTTGTTTCCACTGTTAGTTCTTCCAGTCCTGTAAATGCATTTAGATGCAACAGCCAGAAGGTGCTGGGTTGGGAAAACAGCATGTAGGAGGTGCCTGATCCTGGCCTTTGCTTACCACTACACCCTGTATGTGTGACATTTTGGTCAAGCTTCATCACGTTTCTCCCAGTTGTAATGCTAAGAGCCTACCTTGTGCAAAATCTAACTGTATTTGACAGTCTGGAGCCTCTGCCAGTGGAAGTAAGGGGAAGCCTTGCTTGTTTAAGTGTCACTTAAGAGATGTACAGGTACAGAGCTACAGGAAATACTCTTGGCTATGCCCACACTGAAGCTGCTCCCTGTGTGAGGGTGGGATTTTCCCCTTTTCTGCCTCAGCACTGTTATGCTCAAATCTTAGCTCATTTTCAGTGTGGGCAGAGCAGGAATGGAAAAACTCTTGATACAAGTTGTTCCCAAGCATATTGCAAGGGCAACAAAAGAAAAAAGACAGAATCTGATAATGTCTTTTATTGCAATACAAAGTCAAAAGCTGTTTAACTTCTACTGTTCAGTGCCGGTGTATTTTTTCCCCCAATCTAGCAGTTGCTTAGCAGGCAGCTTAGAGAAAAGCGATTTTAACCAGTAATTTTAACAGAACTGTGAGTTGATTTTTTTTTTTTACACTGAATATCACAGAGGCAACCGGCACAGAATGTTCTTTACGTGTAAAACAACATGGGATGCATTCTGTGCACCAATTCCAGCTGGTGTACGTCGCAGTGAGACAAAAATGAAGGTGCTTAAGGAATCTCTCCTGTGTGCTTACACAGCTGCAGACGGGTTTTCTGGATTACTTGCTGCCTGGTTTTGTGTACAGCTTTTCTGGGAACTTACTGGTGGCAAATGGCAAAAATAAAAGGAAGAGCTTTTAGCACAGTTTTTCCTAAGCAGTGCTGTGTCTCAGCATCCAACATCTGGTCCTCTGCCTGAATCAGCCAGTGGGGACACTTCCCAGACTGCCGCAGTGTGTTCAATGTTCTGTTTGCCCCCTGACCTGGCTAGGGTTTCAGTGAAGCACGTGGCTCTCCTCTGAGTAACTTGCAATGCCCAAATAATCAGGGGGCCCGGCATCTCCACTTCTCCCTAATTCTTCCACCTTCTAATTTTTCTATCTCTGCTTATATGGGGAGAAACTGAGGCAGAGGTGATGCCACCAACTTGACCCCAAATGATGCCAAGCAACTCTAACCCCAGCTCCACCTTTCTGTAGGCACAAAAGAGAAGTACAAATCCCTGTTTACCTGCTCACAGGTCTTTGTGTTGGCCCTGTGATCTCCTCAGGTCTGGATTTTCCTAATCCCACAGCCTACCAGCCTTCTTCCAAAGGGAAAACGGTAAAAACAAGATGATGTGGTCTCCTTGCCTGCTCCTCATTTCCAACTGTTAAATGATCGCCAAAAAGCTTTAAAAATGAACCAGTTTCAACCAAACATGACACAAAAATTTCAGGAACGGTTTTGCTCCTGGAGCAAAGCACGAAGTTGGCACTTCTCCCAATCCAGTCAACTTGCCACTTCTTCTCAGTCCCTGTGCAGAGCCTTTACACTTTGGCTGAGCAATATTGATGAGAGCAGTCTGGCAACTTCGAGCAGCATCAGAGGAGAAAGTTACAGCATATTCATGTCACTGGTAAAGTTACAGTGAAGCACTCATTTCTATTGCCAGCTAAGCCCACAAGGAAGTCACTAAACCTAGGTCCCATTTCTAGCCTTGAGTCCCAGCCCCAAGCAGTGTGGGGGCAGCCTGGCCCTCCCAGCCCTCCTGCTGGGCACCTGGCTCACAGCACACTGAACCTGAGCTCTGCTACAGATCCATCAGATCTAAACTGATCGTGGATATCTTCAGAAGACAAAGTGCTATAAATTCCTTAAACCCTAAAGCAGCATCTTACCAGCTGCTGCAGACCTTCCTCCAGTGCAAACCAATCAACTTTCACGCTTGAAAGCAGTGGTGGAAACCTCTGCCAGAGCTCAAACATGGGGTGACTGTAGGTCTGGGAGCAGGGCTCCCATCACCACCACACCTCAGGCTCCAACGGGCTCCGTCCCTGCGGAGCTGTGTTTCCTCAGCCCTGCTTGCTTTGCTGCCAACACCGGACAAAGTGCTCAGCAACAAGCACAGCTACGTACGTTAGTGGAGAAAAGTAAAAGCTAAAATACAAAGGAAATCCAGAGGAGAGAGGTGCCAAAGCAGGTAGCAGGAGTCACTCACCTGTGCGCAGCAGGGCTGCTCCTTACGATGCGCTGCTCCCAGCAAAAGCAGGGCAGATGCTGGGGGCTTGTGGCTTTTATAGCACAGGGAAGTGGGTTTGAAGGCGGGGAGAGCCAAGAGGTGGGTCAGGAGGACGTCAGCAATGCTGGAGAGCAAAATTTAAATTCACAAAGGGAGGGGAAGAGAAGTGAGGCTCTGTTAAGAGAGCCATTGATCAGGGCAGGGAGCAGGAGCCAAGGGGCTGGGGCCAGGGGCAGACAGGAGTAGCACGGCTGCCACGTTCAGCAGAGCAGAACCCACCTCCCCATAGTCTGTAGCAGCCGTGCTCCTCTTCTTGCTGTCCCCATCCGAGGCCACATGTGGAGGAGCTCTCGTCTGACCTGCGGCTGGGGCCAACTCAGCCTGCTTATGTGTGAGGCCCTGCAACTGACTGAACCCAGCCTGGTTCAGCAGCATGCCTAAGTGTGGATAAGTGCTGTGGCAAGGAAGTTTCATCTGCACGAGGCTGAGATCTTGGGCAATTCTGCATTTCTACAGCATCCATCTCTTCGGCACAGCTGTTTTTACCTTTCTCTCTTGACTAATGTGTTAGCACAGTTCTTGCTGATAAGAATCCACTGTTTAGCAGCTGTATTCACCACCAAGTTTTGCAGCATTCATGTCGGCAACTGTTCCTCTTCTCCATCTGAGTCCTGGGGAGAGGCTGGAATGTGAAGGGACCAGGGACTGAGCCACAGGGTTCTGTTCAGGCAGAGGATCCTGCTCCGTGCCTGGTGAGGCTGAGCATCTGCAGTGAGCACCTCCATAACTCTCCGCTCAGGGAAGCTGGCCCTGAGATGTGACTCACTCCACAAGCTGAGAGTGAATAGGAAATACTACAACAAGACCTGTTCAGTTTTTCTATAAAGATGCTCCCATGCCTCTCCCTGGCTTACCCAGTATCCAGGCATCAAGTGGGTAACCCCACCACCACCCTATCTCTGCCTGGGGAGGAGGTGATCACTAATTCGTGTGGTTAAAATGAATCTACCCTTTATATACAGCGGTTTTCTCTATGTGCATGTGTATGAACACACGGAGTAAAGCCTAAGAAATACTCTTCCTCTTTCCAGTTTCCATTTACTAACAGATAAAAGAAGTGTCTTCCTCATCAAAGTTTTCAAGAGTTTACTCAGACTACTTAGGATTGTGTACCATAGCAGCATGTGAAGAGCACTTCAAGTCTGAGATAGCACAAAAGGTCTTTCTGCACCTAACGCAATCGATATACATGCTTTCTTCAGCAACCTCCTATCAGCATGTTCGCTTTGAACCTTGCAAATACCCCCTACTTAAAAATCAATCTGCTCCCAAGAGCCAGTCAGTGGCTGCGCTTCCATTGTGCTAATTCCATGTGCATGCCTGGAGAGGGTGTCTTCTCACTAAGTAAAGCCCTTCAGTGCTTTGGATCACAGATCTTCTCCCTACATGTTTATTTTGACCACAAAATGTAGTATCATTTCTTGATCTCTAGTGAGCAATTGCCAGAATGAGAGCTTCTTCTCTGCTGGATGTGTAGCATGTATTCTTGTTTTGCTAAGTGATCCTATCATCTTAAAGCAGAAATAAAAGCCAATTTACTCCTTCTACCCTGGCTGCCATTGCAACTGCAATGGGAGCCTTTCGAGAGCAGTGAGAATTTTCACTGGTTTATACCTACTCAGAAGAGACTGTGTAAAACAAAACTGTGCAATACCTTCGTGTTAACATGGTTTGCTGCTTATAGATAAATGTGCCTGAAAAATAGCATGCCATACATAGAAAAAAAGCATTATTAGGAGAGCCAGCATGTAAAATGCTATAATATACCCAGCTGCCTTCACTCAGGCCCCAGGTCGATCTACTGCATCATCCTGTGGTTGGCAGCAGCCAGCAGAGAACATCTAGGTAAGCTGCAAAGAGGGGAATACATTTTGATGTTCCCCATGGGAATATTCTCCCAGGACCCTGAGACGTGTGGCTCAGAGATTTCCCAAGTCAAATGTGTCTTTGTAGCTGGGAGCCTTTAATGGATTACTTTTTCCTTCACGACTGCTTCTTGAACCCATCTAAATTCTCAGCATCCACACAGTCATATGCCAGGGACTTCACAGCTGCCCCCAGCTACAAGGATCGCATCCATGCCTCTGTCCCAAGCACGCCACCTGCCAGTTCCAAATATGTTTTTATTTTTGCTTTTGGTCTTTCTGCCTTCATGAAACATTACTATAAAATATTCTAAGCAATGAAGATTAATCAGCTATAGAGACAGTCTATTTAAATGAGCCTTCTCAGGCATTTCTCTTATCACAGTACTATTTTACTCCATCCGTGTTGACTGCAAGGTGTCTTTTTTTTTTTCCAGCAGACCACAACCAAACTGCCTCAGTGCTATATATGATACTCAGAAGCTTCACATCAATCATTCTGTTTTCTCAGAGTCATTTCTGGCAATTGTGATCTTCATTATTTTTATGATGCTGTTCATAGCAAGGCTTATGCTTTGAGGAAAGCAAGGCTGCACAGAAAAGCAAAAGACATTCCTAGTTGGAAGTAACTGGGAGAGAGCGATCAAAAGAATGGAGTTAATGAGAGAGTGACTTGGGAAAATCATCTCGAGGACATCTTGGTGTGCACTGAAGGGGCAGAAGATTCAGTGTTAAAACTTGCATCTTTCTGTGTTTAGGGAGAAGTTGGGCACGCGCTCACAAACAGAAGGTGAAAACCACCAGTGCACATTCAGTACTTTATTGGATACAGTGGATAGAGAAATAGGGTGGTGGTGTTTTTTCCAGCCCACCACTCTGTTTCACATACCAGAACGCAAACAGTTTGAAAATGCCATGGTGCTGAATGTCTGCATGAGCCACGAATCTGCTCTGCTTTCCATACTGCAGTACAGCATGAATTCTGTACGGGAAAAGAAGCAGTAAAACGTTGCCATTCTGATTTCGCTTATCTTTGAATAAGAGGGAGGGATTTGTTCTGCCTGGAAATTCTGAATTGACATTAACTAGGAAATATTTAATCAGCTATTGAGGAGACATCCAGCTGCACTAAGTGAGCTTCAGAAAACCACGTCAGGCAACTAGATGAAGTGTTAATTACGTGTGGAATTACACTGAAGCCGTTCTCTACTAATATTCAGGTTTCAAGAAAAGCCAGGACTGGCTGTATTCTGGAGTAATTTTCTTCTTTGAGAAACAGAACCATCTAGTGGCTAACACAGAAATTATCTTCTTGTTATCACAGAGCAACGAACATCCATAGCTTTCAAACGAAAGGGTGAGTATGTCAAACCCTAAATGCATACCTAAAGCTAAACCAAAAGGCATATGACCCAGATCTCTAGGAATCTGGACTGGATATTCATGTGCTTACCACTAGCAAGGTGCCAACTTTTCCCAGTTCTCCCAGTTATCACAGGCTTACTGAGGAGCTCAGGCACGGGCTGCATGCAGCTCAGGCTATTGACCAATCTCCCTAAGCCCTTCTTTGGCATGCTGCACCACACTTAGAACCCTGATGAAAAAATACAAGCCAGGCTTAGCCTGGTTACAGCCACCTTCCAAAACACATTGCTGGAGGTAGGGAGAATATTTCTTCTGAAACTTTTACTTTTCTTCCTCCCTCCATTACACAGCCCTCTGCACAGCACGGAGGTATGCATGGCGGATGAATGCAGCTGGCTAGAGTAGACAGTCATGCAGTAGGAGCAGGGAAGATTACAGTTCAAGAAAGGAAATGGAGGTTGGAAATATTCTGGCCTGTCTTGAAGCATGCAGTGCTTCATTCCAGCATTCTGACCTATCTGGGGAGTTACTGCTGGGTTCTGAATTAGCATGGCATTTTGCACAAAAGTGTACTTTTTGCCTGCATTCTATTCTATTTTTCATCTGCAAGCCAATGAATCCCCGGATTTCATCCTTGGAGCTGATCCAGTCATAAATAACCTTCAACGATTCACATGTTCATCTTTTCCTGAACAACAGTTGCCAGGTTATCCATTAGTCATGTAATGGCAGGAGTATCTCTCCCAATCCATTCTTTGAGTACTGATGTCTAGTAGATATCAGTGACTGAGATTAACTCCAGCCTGGGCTCTCCAACAATTGGACATAATCTAAAATTGAACCCAAAGCAACAACAAATCTGGGTTCCACATGGGTTTTAGACCTATTTTAACTGCTACTATTTTTTTTTTTCTGTGCAATCGTCTACAGAAAAGTGCAGCTGGAAACCTTTGGCATCATGACAGTCACACAACTATGGCCACAGCAGTGGCTGCACAAGAATTCCTGACTTATAGAGGAGTTTTACAGTGTCCAGACACAAAGTGCAGCGTGGGCACAGGGACAGTGGTAACATCACAGAGCAACAGGTGATGACACGTTCAAGAGAAGGACTGTGACCACATCACCCTCACTGAGAACCTTTGGGCGTGGGCAGAGCCTGGTCCAGTTTGTTCGTGCCTGGACTCCTGTCGAGCGTGTGTGCGAGGCTTGGAGGTGGAACGAGCGTTTGGTTTGGGTGTTGGGTTGTGCTTTGGGGACTGCGGGCAGCGGCTCTCAGTGCCCATCCCTACAGCCATCACCTGCATTTCCCTGGCCTGTCTGGCTCAGGCAGCCGGGGTCCCACGAGGCGCACGCGTAGCAGCAGAGGTGAGCTGGGTGGAAATGGGGTGAGCTGGGTGGATGTGGGGAGCTGCCAGGGCCGAAGCCTGACCCTGAGGGGTGTGGGCGGCCCAGGCATGGAACCAGGAGGGTTTCCTGCCGAGGGACTGGCATATTTCCTCTGCCTGAGCCTGGGACAGCGACTGACCGTGCCCTCTCTCCCTTCTTGCAGTGCGCAACTTTCATCACTGTGGTGCTGGTGACGGGGGAGCCGATCCTCGCCTTCAGTCCCCAGCAGGCCACAGCGTGAACATCATGGCAGCTGAGCAGGCATGGATGTGTCCCATCTGCCGTGACGAGCAAAAGGACGTGGCCTATGTGGTACCTTGTCGCCACGAGTTCTGCCTGGCCTGCATCCTGCAGTGGGCCAAGCAGAGGAACAGCTGCCCGCTCTGCAGGACGGTCATGACTGTCATCAAGGTTGCTGAGTGGGATGATAACGATGACCTGGATTTCGTTATCCAGCCCCCAGCACAGCCTGAACCCACCAGCTTCCAGGCAGGCATTGCTCCTGCCTACAGCCCCCACAGCTCTTTGCCATCTCCTTTGCTGTCCCCTTTGCCATCCCCTCTGCCCTTTCTGCTGCTGCCAGAGGAGCAGGAGAGTGAGGAGGCAGAAGAGCAGGATGCTCAGGAGGCAGATGAAGAGGGGGCTGAGGAAGCAGTGGAGCAGTGGGCAATGGAGGAGGATGAGCAGTGGGCAATGGAGGACAAAGAGCAGTGGGCAATGGAGGAGGAAGAGCAGCGGGCAATGGAGCAGGAAGAGCAGCGGGCCGAGGAGTCAGATGAAGGGGAGGCAGAGGAGACAGAGCAGCTGCAAGCTGATGAAGCAGACGACCAGGAGGCTGAGGAAGCAGAGGAGCTGCAGGCTGAGGAGGCAGAGGAAGAGCCTACAGTGGGAGGTCTCCTGCCTGGGGTCTGGGCAGCTCTGTTCAGGCAGCACCAGCAGATCCTGGACCCTGTGCTGCCCTGGCTGCGGCAAGCGCTGACAGTCATCTTTGGGGCACAGTGGTGGCCAACGCTGCCAACTGAGAGCATCATCCTGAATGCTCTGTGCAAGGTCGGGCTGGACAGCCAGGCCCTGGTGCAGGAGGTGTGGCCTGTCCTGGAGGACAGAGCAGAGGCCCTCATCCAGAGACTCATGGACATCATTGTGTGCCACTGCGGCGAGGAGGCCCTCAGTCAGCTGGGCCTCCAAGGTGCCAACGAGGCCTTGGGAGCAGCAGGACAGCCCTGTGGCCGCTCCGAGCCCCACAGCCTCCCTACGAGCGACCCTCAGCTCACGGCCCGCCAGTGCCAACACACAGGACCTGCCCAGCGCACCGCAGGTTGTCCTTCATGGCTGCCCCAGTCACTGCCCCACTGCTCACAGCCTGAGGGAACCACGAGCAGACAGAGTGGGGCACAGCGGCTCTTCAGCTCCTCGCCGCTCCCCTGTCGGCGCCCAGCAGCCCCTAAGAGAAGGGCTGACAGTGACGACGACCCAGAGCAGCCCTGCAAGAGGCTGTGCCATCAGCGGCGCTAGCAGCATCTTTAATTAAAAATAAAGGTAGAAAAGATTAGTCCGCAAAGTCTCAGTTTCACTCCAAACGGAGCTGGCGATCCACGCACACAGTGCTGCATCCTGCCCCTCAGCCAACCATCACCACCAGGCCGTCATGTTTGTACAACTTATTCTGTGTTGTCCTTACGGATCGCAGACATCAACACTGCAGAAAGAAAGATAAAGCCAGCACAAAAAGTTTGTGCAGATCAGCTCCTGCCTACCAATGTGCTCCACCCATCTTGAAAATCACAGGGCTTTTACTGTTTCATCTTTCAAATCAGAAACTTAAAAAAGAATCACTGCTAGAAAAATGGGGGAAAAAGCAAGGAGACAGTAAAAAGAAAGTATTGGTGTGGTAAGCCTCTCATTTAACTAATTCTACACAAGTCTCTCTTGTAGTACAGTCCAGACCATAAAGAGATTGGCTGAACTTATCATAAAGGCAACATTTCTCCCAAAAGCTGGAGATAATATGGAAACTCAGTCTTTTTTGAACTTGTCTAACTTAGCTGCGCAGCGTCATGTAGGAAAGTATTCCTTTTATTTACCTGCATAGACAAATGCATTTTCTAGTATCAAATGTAAAGACAAAATCAGATGGGCCTAGCAAGCAAGAAATCCACAATGGATTTAGCTTAAATTTATGCCCCAGAAGTATGTATAGGAATCATAACTTCTCATTTCTGTAAGGCTCTCTGATCAAGGACATTTCTAGTGGAGAATAAGGAAAAAAAAAATACTAGGGAAAGGAGAAAGTCATAATTAAGAGCATATGGCATCACAGTCTTGACCAACAAATGATAAGGGAGGCAAGGAGGAGGATCAGACCTGGTCAGTCACAGTGACTGCTGAAGGTATGCTGGAGAGTAGTTATTCCAGCAGGGTTTCCTGATGGAGGTGTTGGAAATATCCAAGTAATTTTCCAGGATGGTATCTCTGATAAAGCCGATATTATGCACAATTGCCGTGTTGAGCCTCCTGCAAGCAGGAGCTCACAGAAAACAGAGTTTCATCTTTTATCACCTACTGCTCGACTCTTATCTCTCTCTCCCCTCGGTCCTCATTCGCTGAGTACTGCAGGTTTACATTACACTCTTTCACCACGTTTCACTAATCATGCAAATACCAAGTAAACACAAATCCTTGCCACCCAAACACAAATATCTTAATTGGTTAATTGCCTTCTAACAATCGCTTTCTTAACATCTGCTCATAACTTTCATGCCTGCTTTACAACATGAACATAAACACAACCTCTTAATTGTTTAATTACCCCCTAGCATTTGTGCCCTTTACACTGGGTCATTGTTCCAATCATCCATCTGTCCTTGCATAGAGATAAGCTTGGAAGGAGGATAGAGGAGAGTATCTTGGAGCCTGCCTATGGCATCCTAACATTAAATGTATTTCACTCCTGCTGGCCTACTGAACAACCTAAATGTTTAGAACATTTAAAGTCTATGGCAGCTTTGTGAGAAAGAATTTGTCACATAATTCCGTAACCATGTTTTGAAAATATGTTACTAATATCTATATGGTATTTCTGCTTTTCACATCAGCTATTTCTAAGGATATGCTACAACTTACTTCTTTAGATCAATTGCCCTTTTCAATATTTTTAAATATTTGTTAATATTGCTCTTTCAATAAAAGGCCCCAAAGCCGAGGCTGCGGGCCCAGCAGCCATCTGCTCCCCCAGCGGCGGCGCGGTGCACGCTGGGTACTGTAGTCCTTCGGCGCGGAACGGCGCCGCGCGGCCTTCATCGGCGGGGTGGAGAGAACTCGAGTTCCCGTGAGGCAGCGCGGGGCCGGCGGGGGCGCTCAGGAGCGCGGCGCGGGAGATCCGCCATTTTGTGAGGGGAAACGGAGGCCGCTGCTTGTTAGCGGTAATGCGGGGCGGCGTGCCGCGGGGGCTCTGAGTGCTGTTTTCCGCCGGCGTTCGCTCCCCCTCTCATTCTTTTCTCTTTTTGCTCCCCTCGCAGGTTCGTCCGCCTCCTTGCGCTCTCGTTATCCCACCCCTCGCTCTTTCCCCACCCTCCCCGCTCCCTCCCCTCCCCGCTCCCCGCCCCCGCCGGCATTGCGGAGCCGCAGACGTGACCCGAGCGGAGCCAGCCGCGGCCTTTCCCCGCTGCGCCAGCCTCTCGCCGCAGAATCGCATGTCATCTATCCAGAACCTCCAATCCTTCGGTAAGAGCCCGTCGGCTGCCCCTTCCCCGTCCCGGGTAACCGCGGAGCCGGCCCCAAGCGAGCCCCGGTCGGTGTCGGGCCGCCGGAGCCCCTCGTGCAGCGCCATTTGCCAGCGCTGCGGTCTGAGGCCTCCTCGGGCTGCCTGGCCTTGTGCACCGACATGGGGCAACAGAAGCGAGGGCGTCCAGCTGCTCGCTGGCTTGTATCAGAAATAACTAGCTGGAAGCGCGGAGGGCATTGTCCCACGGCGCTGATGAGGCCGCACCTGGAATACTGCGTTCAGTTTTGGGGCCTTCACTAAAGGACGCAGAGGCCCTGGAGCGTGTCTAGAGAAGGGCAGCAGAGCTGTGAGGGACTGAAGCGGCTGAGGGAGCTGGGATTGTTCAGTCTGGAGAAGAGGAGGCTCAAGGGAGACCTGATTGCTCTCTACGATCACCTGAAAGGAGGTTGTGGTGAGGTGGGGGTCGGCCTCTTTTCCCACCTAACAAGAAATAGGGTGAGAGGGAACGGCCTGAAGTTGTACCAGGGGATGTTCGGGATAGTAGCAAAAAACTCTTACCAGAAAGAGCAGTGAGGCAGTGGCACAGGCTGCCGAGGGAGGTGGTGCAGACACCATCCCTGGAGGTGTCCAAGAACCGAGTGGATGTGGCACTGAGGGACATGGTCAGTGAGCATGGTCGGTCAGTGGTTGGACTAGGTGATCTTAGAGGTCTTTTCTAATTATAATGATTGTGTGATTTCATTAACTGGAAACATTTCTTCTGAAATGCCTGTTTCACCAGTGTTAGGTACATTTAAGCTTGGAAGAACTTCAGAGCTGGTACTGCTGCATTTAAAGCCTAAATAACCTTGTTATAATTCTTACCTAAAGTTGAGAGGTTGGTTCAGAGACTGCATCTGGTGTCTCATAGCGTCTGTTGCTATGTTTTATATTAAAAGCTAGGAATTATGTCTGTGACTGAAAAGGCTGGTAATGTAGTTGTCATGTCATACAGTTTACGTTTTGAACTTGTAAAGGTGTGTTCGTTCAGGAGTTGTTCTATTTTTCTGTACTTAGTTAACCTGATTAACAGAAATATGACCACCTTACGAACTTTTTTTTTCCCCTTGAAGTACTTAATGACTGTCTGAAATGTGCTTTTAAAAGCGCATGCTGTATAGGATTCTTCGTTTCAGGTGAGGAGTTTCACAATTTATAGTTTACAGTAAATAAAATAGTGCAGTAAAATAGGACTGTGGCTGAAAAGTGTTACATCCAGACAGGTATTAAAGAGCGCTGTGAGTAAGCCAGGTGAGACTTAATAGAGCTCTAGAAAGTTTGTTGTTAACAGATTTTGAAACAGGAGAGAAAAAGAGCTACATTACCCTTAAAAAAAGACGTGAGGTGAGGAATTGTTGGGTTTTAAGCTTGTTCTTTTTTTCTTCCATGGGATTTAGATGGATGCTTTTCTTCTTGCAGACCCCTTTGCTGATGCTACAAAGGGTGACGACTTACTCCCGGCAGGGACTGAGGATTACATTCATATAAGGATCCAACAGCGAAACGGAAGAAAGACTCTAACCACCGTTCAGGGAATTGCAGATGACTATGACAAGAAGAAACTTGTGAAAGCCTTCAAAAAGGTGAAATTGTTGATTTAAGAATAAAGATGAAAGAGTTATGTTAGCTATTAATGTTAAGTAACCAAACATTTGTTTTATATCATTCCTTGTAGTGGACATCACTTGAGATTCCCTTCTCCTATCTGTCTCAAAAGTTCCATTGGTGTCCAGTGATGCTTGCTTTTTGCTAAGAAGCTAAATGTTTCTTTCCTATGAATAAAATTCAGCATATTCTGAATTGTTCATTTAAATTTCACAAATGTTTGGCATTGTTGATGTAAAGAATAAGATCAATTGGAGATAAATTATTTCTGCATTCCTGCTTCTGCCAGAGTTGGGTTACCATTGAAGTAGAGCCCTTGAGTTTTTCTAGGGTAACAATACTTATATTTTTAATAGTGCAGAGCTGGAAGAGTACTTTAGGCCTTTGTTTTTTGTTCTTGTAGTTTGCATTGGCCAGTTCCTTTAGGATGGGAGCTAATCCTCTCTTTACTTGAATTTCAGCAGCTTGCTTTTTCTCTCTGTATATATCAGACACATTCGATTTGCTTTCAGAATGAGCTTAGAGTACATCTAGCCTTTGCTGAGCTTGGCAGTGGAACTTAGTGAGCAGCTTTGGGGATAAAATTCTCCTGAAAAGTCTTACTAAGCAAAATCAAAATGCACATTAGATGTCTTACAATACAAATCTCTCTCTCTAGAAATTTGCTTGTAACGGTACTGTGATTGAGCATCCTGAGTACGGTGAAGTTATCCAGCTTCAAGGTGACCAGAGGAAGAACATCTGCCAGTTCCTCTTGGAGGTGAGGAACTACTGATAAATACCTAGCAGTATTCTAAACCTGTCTGCAGGTAATAGTGTAATGGATGACACTGATGCTAATTAAGCAGTTAAATATGTCTATGATAGTTCCTTTATACTTGCACCCAGAAAGTAGAATGACATTTGCAGGATTAGTAGACCTTGAGCGAAAATGTTGCTTTGGAGTGCATTTACCCTGCTACAACAGAACACACTTTTTGTTTTCTGGCAGTGCAGCTCAACTTTGTAAATCAAGTGCTTGATGCAAACCATAATTTTAAAACTGGTGCTTCTGTAGAGGAAGCTGTCGCCACCGTTTTGCTGATGTAAATCATGATGCACAGGGATTCTAAACCATTGAAGACCAAGTGCTAGGACTACAGAAAAATCCAGCATCTGACAGGATTTTATTTTTGGTGTAGTAAATTCTTCCCTGTGGCCCAGAAATAGTCTAGAAAACAGAACACTGCTTTCTTGAGTTTATACTGTATTTCAGTTTCTTTAATCAAAGTAGAAGATTGCAGTGACTTAATACCACAGTGTCTTCCGTGTGGAAGCTGTACTGAAGTTTGTTGCTTTTCTCCTGTAGATTGGCATTGTCAAGGAAGAACAACTGAAGGTTCATGGTTTCTAACCCACCCCTACTCCCATGAAGAATCCTTCAGTGTTTGGTCCTACCCAGCCTGGCTCTTCTGTGAAAAATGTATCTTTGCAGTGAATGGACTTCCCTATTATCTCACCATTCTGAATTGGTTTCAGATTTGCATGACTGTGTGAAACATGTGGTGTGTAGACTAGAAACACATAAGAAAACTCCAGTAAGGTGGTAATGAAGACGCTTGTGAACTTCAGCACATTTCCAATGGAAATGTTTTAGTGATGATTGTTCAGTTGACTGTTTTTCACCTGACTTAACTGTGTGGGTTGTATTAAAATAGTGTGTGGTGTTGCTTAAAAAATAAAAGTTGATTCATGTATTTTCTGGGATATCTGAAATGCTTTAGCTTAAGGTTTAAACTAGTGCAGCAGCCTTACTACAGAGTGGCTGAAGTGTTTTGTGGCAAGTATAGCTCACTGCTTACTGAAAAAAAAATGGCAAATCTACATGAAGTATTAGCTGACGAATCAGTAGATTAGCTTGATGCAATCTTATGCTGTAGCTGTAAGACTAGAGCTTAAGTCTTTTATGTAGGTGTATCTTAATAGCAGCATGATAAGATGTTCTTTGTTAAGTAGCTGAATCTTCTCTCCAAAATTTACTGCAGAATGTAGTAATGGTGTTAAGCGTAGTAGGGCTAACGTAAGTTCATCTACTTAAAGCTGCTATTACTGAGAGTATATTAAACATCAGGGTCTTGAATGCTTCTCCCAAACCGTTTGACTTTCATCTCTTCTGTCAGAGTGAAGAGGAACAGTACTGAGTTGGACTCTGCAATGATTGAGCATTTAATGTTGGCAGGCAGTACTTCTATTAGCTGGTAGTGTTAGCTGCAGAAGTGAGGAAAGGAACAGGCTCTTCACTAAGCTTTTTTTCTGGTGTGAAAAATTTTAATATGGAGGATCTTGTTCTGGGGTTTGTGTGTTACTAGAGAAAGCTGATTTAGGCTTTATCCAGTGTTATAATAGAGGTGTTAGGGTTCTTTTCTACCAAGCTCCTCATCTAGTTTTAGTTAGCTGTAGGTATTTAGTGTTTTGAGTGCAAGGCACGTCTCTTAATGGAATGAAATGACTTTATCTGGTGAACGTGGGGGGAAAAAAAATGGATTGCCAAAGTAGACATCAAGAATGTGAGAAATTTTCCTGTTTATTACCACCTGTATCTGTACTCTTCGCATTCAGAGGCTTGCCTTTCTAGACAAATGCTCAGTTGCAACCTGTTAGAACATTTTTAGATTCTTGAGTTCAGGTAAGAACTTTTATGCCACTAATAACAACTGGGGGAGCACTGCGGAGCATCCATATGACATTTTTGTACTCTGTGGTTTAGATAATTGTAAGAATCCACTCTTCTGTCTCTCAATTTCCATGCATTCTTCAGGCCTTTCTGCTCCAGAAGGGTGTCCCAGAAGAGAGAGTACCCTTCAGGTGTCATGTGCTTAGGATGAGGAGGAGAAGCCTCCTGTAAACAGAATATCAACACATGGAACTAAAATCCAAAGACTGACAACTATTATGCTAGTCTTGCACATTAGTGAGATAGTCATTGTTCCCCAAGTTTACCAAGTCCTGATTCACAGGTGATTAATCCTTTGGTGTGTGTAGCACTTAATGATCTTCATTTGATCAAATACTGGAAAAAGATGTTTTATTTCAGAGCTTGTTCTGTTGCCCAATGGGGGGAGCGGGGAAACAGGATAGTCGTCTGTTTCACTGATACTACATGAGTACTTGTAGTGGGTTTTTGAATTGGAGATTAACAAATGATTAGCAAGTCTCATGTGTTACTGAGTCAGTCTTCATTTCAAATGCTGTTCTGTTAACTTTCATTACCTAAGCTGAGTCATTTCTCTGTAGTCATTCTACTTGAAATAAATAAGAAACTTTATTTTGTTCCCTTCATTTAAGAGTGCTTTCTGAAAGGAGGAGTCTTGAGTTGATAGGTGGCTTGATTTTTATGCTGTACTGGTGGAGCTGCTTGTGCTTTGACTTTTGAAGAACAAAAATGAGAGGGAATAAGTAGTACCTTTTAAATTCAAATTGATGGGATTTGTTGTTGCAGCAAGCAAAAATTCGTCTTGCTAGAAAGAATGTAGGAATTTATCCTTGAACTGTGTTTAAAACTGGTGTCACGATGAGATTGTAGCTAACCGTGTTACAGACGTGGTTTCTTCCAGAGAAAAGGCTTCCACAATTTCATGTTCTATGGTATTGAAATGTCTGTCAAAACGCAGACTTGAAATACAGGCCCTTGTTCCAAGAAAGCTGAAGAACGTGAGACTAGAAAAAAGCTATTTAGGGTTATGCTGTTCCACCTTGTTCCACAGTGAAGCCAGTTTTCAAACTTTGTCCCAAGATAAATTAGAAAATAGGATGTTGCCTGTAATTACTGAGGCAGGAAAAGGGAGCTAGAAAACACTTCTCAACCTACAGGGACTGAGGCTGTGCAAGCTCAGACAGCAAATAGTGGTGTTTTCTTCTGTTGGAATATTGTAAAGCCTCTACACTCCATATCTCCAGGGTTGCCTCCTTAGAGATACGGAGGTTTAGCTGCTAGCTGGAGTTGGCTGCAGGAGCTGCTATTTCGTAGCCTTGCTGTGTATAGGTATATTAGGCTATTATAGCTGGCCAGTAAGCTGGAGTAAGCTGTTGTATAGATAAAGAGATAGACATAACAGATATATGTATAGATATAGATTGTTGGAATTGGCTGTTCAGAGCATACATCTGTTGAAGGAGAGCGTTGCTTCCCAAACTCTGGTAGCAGTCAGTATTTGTAGAAGATAGTGGTTTAAGTCTGTAAGCTTTCCATTCTCTGTGAATTATCACAGACCTGCCCGTGTGATCTGCCAAGTCTTTGTTTCAGAGACAGTTGTGAGGAGCACAGCTATGGGCTTTTCCCAAGCAAATTCCTTTGAAAAGGAGTGCACAAATTGAACCAGTGAATACCATGTGCACAATGGCATTGCTTAACGTCTCCTTTCCTGCAGCGTGATCTTTGTACAGCCTAAATGAAGTGTTCTATTCTGGATGATGATTTGGAGGGGGAAAACAACACAAAACCTCAGGAAATAAGCTTGTCTCTTTAGTCTGTCATAATTAGTTTAGCTTTTCCTGGAGCTGGCTTCTAGCATTGCTATTTCTGTTTGTGTATTTTTTAAAACACTTAATAGAATTTCCTCGAGGGCTTGGCATTTAAGGTTCTAAATGCATCTAAACTCTAATGCATCATAAAACTTGTGAGCTGTTGTTGGGAGCTTATCTTACATATCTGAAAACTAAGCAGAGTTCTGCCTTTATCCTCTTCTGCCATCCTGACTGTAATCACTACACTGGTGCCTTATAGGTGCGTAATGTGTTCACAAACCACCAGTAAGCAGGGGTGAGGCAGTGCCCCCTGCTGTAACACAAGTCCTGCTTGTAGTCTGGTAAGATCTCATGTGCTGCCCTGTTACAGGCTGTGCTGCTCTAATCCTACAGTACAGGACAGGTACTTTGAGTTCCAAGCCAGCAGTTCTTAATCCTCCTGGAAGGCTGCAGGGTATGGAGTTTTCATTGACACCCTTGTTTAATTTGGCTCAGCCTTCTCTCTTATTATGTGAATATATGTATGAGACTAGTATTTATAAAGTTAAAGAATGTGACAGGCTGTTTGATAATTATTTGGACAAGTCGTAACCTGTATTAAAGTATTGCTAGAGAGCAGAGACAACAGTCTTTTGAAATAAAATGTACCAATGTTGTTTTATGTATTTTTTTTCCCAAAGCAAATGGAATTTTAATACTAGTAAGAAAGGATTGGTTTTTCTTTTTTTTGGTGGAAGATAGAAGTGCCATTTAATGTGGTGTGTGTCATCCTCTTGTAACAGAGCTGATGTCTTCAAGGAGTGTTCCATTTCCACTTCTAAATATCTGCTGTAAGTCATGTTAACTGACATCAAAGTATTGAGACTTGTTCTGGGATGATCATAGCTCTAAAACAAGACAATGACTATTGCCTTGAGATCTGAAATTTTGGGTAGAACATCATCCAATTTCTTGACTAAGCAGTGTTTTAAGAAGCCACTAATATGTGCACAAGTTTGGTCTTAGCTATTTTAGAACGTGACATCTGTGAAATGTAACATCACATTTCAGAACTGAATTTGGGGTCAGATAGTAGTACTTATGTATATAATTATTTTTTTTTTCTCCATATTTTAAGCCATCTTTGCTTATCCATCTTTGATTATACAGGTGAAGAAACCCCACCACTTTAATCTGTGCATTATGTCGAAGCTTCAGTTAGAGTAGCTGAATTCTGTGGATGTGGTTGCAGGTAGAATGGCCACGCTGCTTGAAAATGGGATTCATCTGCAGCTGTTTGTGGTCCTTATCAAATCAGGTATGGAAACAGCACTGTTCCTACAGTACAGACAGACAACTCTTGGTGTCATGATGGAGCTGCTGACTCCGTGAGAGGTGGCACTGCATATGTTTTGGTAGCTGTCCATGATGTGAACTAGGAGGGTGCTCATTTAGATGGACCTAGCAAATGTCTAATACAATGATGTAGAACCAGAGAGTAGTTCTGCAGTGAGGAAGGTTAAAAATGGCCTATTCCAAGGAGTCCTGCTAGAAAAATCAACTAAGGGCAGCCCCTGTTGTAGAGGAAGCACCCTTAGCTGCTTAATACATCTACAGTGAGGGGCTTATTTCCTGATGATTGATGGGCTGCATCAGCATGCATCAGTAGTATTGACACATCTGTGCTTGTTAACACTGGTGAAAAAGATAGCTCTGTAAACACTTGTCAGACCTACAGCACCTGTAACTCAAAGCACGGATTGGGATTTCAAGATGCAGAACAAAACCAGTGTCTGGGTTCCTTTGTCCAGTAGTAACTTGTAAAATGAGCCATGAGTTATTCAAGAGAACAAGTGAGATTTCTGTATGAAAAAAAATTACAGGGAATACTAGAAAGAGTATTTTCCTTCCTTACCCACCTTTCCCTTAGGTATGATTTTGCAGTGGCATGAAGATATTTCCTTATTGTCCTGCAGTGGAACACAGTGAATAGTGGTTTGTTTGAAAGCAGCTGAACACTGGAATCCTCACCCACCCTTGCTTGTCTTGTGTAGAGCGCTGAGCTGCTTCTGCAGGACATTGGGATGAGGGAAGGGGCATCTCATGGGGTCTGTAACTTGTTTCATTCTTAGAACAAAGTCGCAGTGAAACCAAATCATTGTTCAGTAACACTGGAAGGTAAGTGCATAATGCAACAGCACGTGTTTCTTCAGGGGGCAAGGAGGTATCTGTACCTCTGTGCAGTGCAGAGCCC